TCTGGCGGACAACAAAGCAAGGCTCGCTTCTCCACACTGGACGCGGATCTTGTCTTCCCTTACATGTAGTGGACAACGAACTGAGGCACACTTTGCAGACTGGACGCGCCTCAGCTTAAGGTGTTTTTAAGCCAATTCGGGGGTTCATTTTTCCCATTTCACTTGGACGAATTTTGGAGCTTTCCTCCACTCTCTCAAGACCCTCAACTCCTCCCATCTTCAAGGTAAGAAATCCCCATTATCTTGGTGTGAATCCTATCATTTCAACACTAGAACTAACTCAATCCACTATGAAATCCTTAGATCTTCAAGAACTCAAAGGAGGGTTTTGCAAGATTTCTTTCAAAAGGTAATCCTACACCCTTATACTTACATGCGTGGATTTATTATGGGAATATGAGTATGAATTAAGTATTGAAACTTATGGGATGGTGATTGGGAGCCATAAGTTCTTAAACTAGATTATTGGGTATTGTAAAGATTTTGTAATTAGTTAAATAGTAAAATTTGGTGGATGTGAATTCATTTATAATTATAATGGTTCTAGGAAGGTAGTTAGTGGACAAAGGATGTTGTAGTATCTTTTGTTGGTGGGAAGGAGGGATTGTTGGATGAAGAAACACCATTACTAGAGGTAGTTGAATGCCATGCACTCTAGGTGTTTGATAAAATGCCAAAATGACCTAAAACTTGGAAATTTTTACTAATATTGGTCCAATTGAATTATGTTGATGTAGATTGAAGTTGTAAGACTTGTTGGAGGTTTTAGTATCACTAAATAGCTCCATCAAGGTATGTTGGCTAAACGTCTTACTTAGAATTTAATCCAGCGATGTTCTCGTAAGTCCCAAGTATGATGGGCCAATTTCTTATTTCTCATTTCCCAAGTTATTCATGATAAGTTTGACTATTCCGAATAAGCTTTGTGTTGAAAGATGTACGTCAAAATATATTCCAAATGCTCTTGTCATATTATTTTATCACTTGAGAATGTGTTCAAAGTATGGGTGGTGTATTAAAACGTTATGACTTTAAGTCGTGTTCCAAATGAAAGTTATTATGCCAAAATTGTGGGAAAAAAACTCAATGTGCTTAAAACTCTTAGTTGCTCATATGTGTACTTAAAGTCTTGATTTGAAATGCCTTGGTGTTGATAATCCATGATGGTGCTTGAAAGTGAAAGAAGTGAGCATGATATATGAAATACGGCCAGCGTGCCAAGAATGATATTACATTTGTGGTCACTAGTGTCAATGAAATGAAAGGATGTGTGGAAGAATATGAATTGAGCTAACAATCCTTTTTATAATAAATATTTGGGAGTATCGTTAGTCACCGAGGAAGGATAGATTGAAATAACCTAACCCCGAAACTACAAGTGTCGGTGTAGTAGTGGATTGTGATTTTACCCCTTATTTGGGATGACATTGATGTGATGAGATTATTCCCTTTAAATGGGATGAGATTATTGCTAGAAAAGGGTGATGTTGATCCACACAGAATTATAGTGAGATAGCCTAGCCAATCGGGTCGAGATCTGATGCCATGCCACACACATTGTGTTGATTGTGATTGAGATTATTTCCCTTAAATGGGATGAGATGATTTCTAGCAAAGGGTGATGTCGATCCACACGGGACTGTGGTGAGACGGCCTAGCCGATCGGGTCGAGATCGGACGCTATGCCGCACATATGGTGGTGATTGTGCTTGAGATTGTGATTGAGATTGTGATTGAGATTGTGATGGTGGTTGTGACTGGATGCCTTTGTTGAGATGGCCTAGATGATCGGGTCGTGATCGGACTCCGTGCTAAAGTCACGGTGGTATATCGGTACTAAAGATCTCCCAACATAAAATAATGAAATTCACTTGAAAACTTATCTTGCTCCTAATTAGATATTTTGGTATTGTTTGAGGCTTCCGCTATTACTATGACTGTTTCTCCTTATATTGATACTCGTTCTATTGAGAGGGTGTTTAGTCTTACATACTAGTACTATTCCATATCTACTAACGTCCTTTTTGCCGGGAGCGCTACATCTTCATTAGATTCAGGTGGTTCATCAGCGAGCAACTTTGGTCCTCGTTAGAAGTTGCTCTCTTTTAATAGGTTTTGGTGAGCCCTACTCTGTTCCGGGCCTGATATCACTTGATGTTGTACTTTGTATTTTGAGGTATAGTCAGGGCCTTGTCGCTGACACTTCCATACTACTCTTCTATTGTACTTGGAGGCTCCGTAGATATGTTGTGGGTTGTACATTGGTGTTGGTTAAGTCAAAACTAGAAATGTTGTATTTGTACCACATATTCCACTTCAAACTATGAGGGTAATATATTTTGGGAATTATAAATGAAGCTACTAATGGTAATGGTAATTGGTGTTGATTATGAAATCCTCTCAATGTTTAAATAATGGAATACATCTCCATTCTATTCATGGGCAAGGTCAGGTAGAAAGTATCTAGTAGGCTTGCTTGACTGGGTTATCTCGGTTAATTGTCGGTCGCGCTCCCCGAAGTCGGGGCATGACAGATGTACACACTCAAAACATGTTTCAATTGCTCCTAAATCACCATGTTCTCCTTCGTGAATGTGTTCAAGTATAGTTTATGTATTAAAATGTTATGACTTCAATTCATGTTTCAAATGAAAGTTTATTAAGCTTAACTTAGAAAGAAAACTCAACGTGCTTAAGACTCATATTACTCATATACATATTTGAGGATTGATTCCAAATTCCCTTAACTGTTGGTAACCTATGATGATGTTTGGAAGTGAAATAAGTGAGAGTGATATGTAAAACGTAGCCATGGTTATTGTAACTAGTGCATTTGATTTGTATTCGTGTTTCAATCGTAAATCACCATGCTCTCCTTTATAAATAATTCCAATGTGATTTGAGTTCTTACATACTCATGATTTGAAATTGTGTATTTCCATTTTGGAAAAAATTATTCCAAGAATAAGTGGTGTATCATTCGTTCATCATTTTAACTCGTGTTTGAATTGCTACTCATTTTGCTCCATTCTTTGGAAAGGAATCTATTGTGTTTAAAGCCTTCATTACTAATAAACCTAAAGTTGTGATTTCCGAAATATTCTATATGTTGATGTTTATGATGATGATCCTTGAATGTAAAGAAATGAAAGTGTGGAATATGAAATACGGCCAACGGCCATGAATGAAAAATCATACGTGTGGCCAAGAAAGCCAAGAAAATAATGATGTTGTGAATGTTTAAAAGTACAAATGAAGCTATATATATGGTATGAAAGGTTATGAGGTGAATGTATTTTCATTTCTGTTTCCTTTGTGTGCAAACAAATATATTTTTGGGAGTATCATTAGCGAACTGAGGAAGGATGGTTGTAACGGTCCAAACCCAAAACTACATGTATCGGTGTAGGAGTGGACTGTGATTTTTCCCATTATTTGGGATGAGGTTGAAATATTGATGTGATGAGATTATTCCCTTTAATTTGATGATATTGATGATAGCTATGAATTTACGTGATGAAGTCGATCCACATGGCATATGTGGGAAGGCGGCCTAGCCAAACGGGTGGAGATCGGACGCCATGTCGCGCGCATACTCTTGGTAGCACCTTTTATTTTATATCACCATGTCAATCCACATTGTTCGTGGAGAAATGGCCTATCCGATCGGGCGTGATCGAAATCCGTGCTAAAAACAAGATGGTATATTGGTGCTAATGATCTCCCAACCAAAAATAATTTATTTTACACGATAATATCATTGATTTTTACTTCTGCTTCGATGGTTTTTCCCTTATTATATTGGCATTTTATTTTCAAAAGAGGACATTTCGCTTGACATACTAGTACTATTCCATATGTACTAACGTCCTTTTTGCCGGGGCACTGCAACTTCAATAGATGCAGGTGGTTCGTGAGCGGTCAGCCTTGATCCTCGTTAGCAGTTACTCTCTATTCAGCAGGTTTTGGTGAACCCTACTCTGTTCCGGGCCTTATGTCACTTACAGTTGTATTTTATGTTTTGAGGTATAGCCGGGGCCTTATTGCCGGCTTTTTCATACTACTCTTATGTTGTACTTAGAGGCTCCGTAGACATGTTGTGGGTGGTGTTCGATGTTGGGTAATGAACTAGAAGTGTTGGTATTTGGCAAATATTACTTTCCTCGTATCTATGAACTTGTGAGATTTTGGAAATCATAAATTAATATCCTTTGAGCAATGGAAAAAGAATGTGGAACATTTTACTCTTCTCCTGCTTATCTCTTGTTATTGGTTCTCATATCGTTATTGGGTAAGGTTGGGTAGAAGGCATCAAGTAGGCTTGCTTGACCAAGGTATCTCGATTGAGCATCTGTCGCGCTGCCCGAGGTCGGGGTGTGACATTTTCAAAGTTACTTATTCGGGTTATAAGGGTCATCAACCTCATGGGACGGGTTGTTTCGAGTGTGAAGAATTGGGTCATCTCAATATCGATTACCCTAAACTTCTGAGGAGGGTTGCACAGACAGTTTATAATTTTAGCACCTAGTAGTTACACTACCCGCATAGCCAACTAGGGGTGGGGCTCAGTAAGTTCGAGATCGCCCTAGAGGAGGAGGTCGGCCAGGCCTTGGTCAGGCACGTTGCTATGCATTTCCTTCCACGCTAGAGGTGGCTGCTTTTGATGCTATGATCACAGGTATTTTTTCAGCGTGCTACAAGGATGCTTCAGTGTTGTTTGACCCTAGTGCCACTTATTCATATGTGTCGTTATATTTTGCTCCTCATTTGGATATGCCTCGTGATTCTTTAGATATTCCTGTTCATGTATCTACACCGGTGGGTGATTCTACTGTGGTGGATAGTGTATATCGGTCTTGTGTGGTGACCATTGGGGGTCATAAGACTAGAGTTGATCTCTTATTGCTTAGTATGGTAGATTTTGATATGATTTTGGGCATGGATTGGTTATCACCATATCAAACTCTTCTTGGTTGTCATGCCAATACCATGCATTGACAATGCCGAGATTTTCGAGGTTGGAGTGGAGAGGCTCATTGGAACATGTTGCTAGTAGAGTGGTGTCGTTCCTGAAGGCTCAACGGATGGTCGAGAATGGGTATTTAGCATGCTTGGCCATTGTGAGGGACTTTGGTATTGATACTCCTACTGTTGAGTCAGTTCTAGTAGTGAGGTAGCTCCCAGATGAGTTTCCAACTGTCTTGTCGGGCATGCCACCCGACAAGGATATTGATTTTGGTATTGATTTGGTGTCGGGCACTCAACCCATCTCTATCCCACCGTATTGCATGGCACCAACAGAATTGAATGAGTTGAAGGGATAGTTACAAGAGTTGCTTGATAAGTGTTCATCAGACCTAGTATGTCACCTTGGGGTGCACCGCTACTATTTGTGATGAAGAAAGATGGTTCTATGAGGATCTGCATTGACTACAAGCAGTTGAACAAGGTTACTATCAATAACAAGTACCAACTACCGTGTATTGATGATTTGTTTGATCAACTTCAGTGTGCAGGGTATTCTCAAGTATTAATTTGAGATCAAGGTACCATCAGTTGAAGATCCGGGCTTCAAATATTCTGAAGACGTCTTTCAGGACCCTCTATGGTCACTACGAGTTTTTGGTGATGTCATTTGGGCTGACCAATGTCCTAGAAACTTTTATGCACTTGATGAACAACGTATTTTAGCTCTATCTTGATACCTTCATCATAGTTTTCATTGACGATATATTAGTGTATTGTTGCAGCTGGGAGGATCAAGAGCAGGATTTGAAGATCGTGCTCCAGACTTTGAGGAGAAGAATTTATATGCTAATTTTTCCAAGTGTGAGTTTTGGTAGACTAGGTGGCATTCTTGGGCCACGTTGTATCCAGTGAGGGGATTAGGGTGGATCCGAAGAAGATTGAGGCCGTTCAGAGTTGGCCCAGACCATCTACTCCTACTGAGATCCGAAGTTTCCTCGGGTTGGTTGGGTATTATTGCCATTTTGTGAAGGAGTTTTCATCTATATCATCCCCCTTAACTAGATTGACCCAGAAAGGTGCCCAAATCAGGTGGTCTAATAAGTGTGAGGAAAGCTTTCAGAAGCTCAAGATTGCCTTGACTATAGCTCCAGTTCTAATTTTGCCTTTAGTATCGGGTTCTTACCGTCTATTGTGATGCTTCACGGATTGGAATTGGGTGTGTGTTGATGCGGGAGGGTAGAGTTATTCCTTATGCTTCGTGTCAATTGAAGCAATGAGAAGAACTACCTTGTACACGATTTAAAGTTAGCAACCATTGATCATGCGCTCAAGATTTGGAGGCATTATCTTTGCGGCGTGTCTTGTGAGGTGTTCACAAGTCATAGGAGTCTCCAACATATATTCAAACAAAAGGATCTAAACTTGATTCAATGGATGTGGTTAGATCTACTAAAGGACTATGATATCACCTTTCTTTATCACCCGGGGAAGGCCAACGTAGTGGCCGATGCTTTGAGTAGGAAGGTTTAGAGCATGGGGAGTCTTGCTTGTATTCTAGTTAGGGAGAGACCTTTAGCATTGGATGTTCAGGCTTTGGCCAATCGGTTCGTGAGGTTGGATATTTCATGGTCTAGCAGGGTGTTTGTGTATGTTGTATCACGGTCGTCCTTGCGCATCAAGGCACGTCAGTATGATGATCCCCACTTGCTTGTCCTAAGGGGCACAGTGAGCACAGTGATGCCAAGGGCATTTCTATTGGTGACGATGGGGTATTGAGGCTACAAGGTCGAATTTGTGTTCCAAATATAGATTGGTTGCTTAGAGTTGATTCTTGGGGAGGCCCATAGTTCGTGGTATTCCATTCATCCGGGGGCCGCAAAGATGTACCATGATTTGAGGTAGCATTATTTGTGGCGGAGGATGAAGAAGGATATTGTTGAGTATGTTTCTCGGTTATTGAACTGCCAGCAGGTGAAGTATGAGCATTAGAGACCAGGTGGTTTGCTTTAGAGGCTTGACATTCTGGAGTTGAAGTGAGAGCGTATCATTATGAATTTTGTAGTTGGGCTTCCACGGACCTTGAGGAGATTCGATACAGTGTGGGTTAATATGGACATGCTGACAAAGTCTGCACACTTCATTCCCGTCAGGACAACCTATTCTTCAAAGCAGCTAGCTCGAATTTATAATTGGAAGATTGTTCACCTTCATGGTGTGAACATGTCTATTATCTCGGATAGATGCACATAGTTTACATCACATTTTTGGAGAGCAGTGTACCATGTGTTGGGCACACAGGTCGAGCTGAGTACGGCATTTCATCCCCAGACAGACGGGCAGTCCAAGTGCACTATTCATATTTTCGAGGATATTTTACGAGCATGTATCATTGATTTCGGAGGATCATAAGATCCGTTTCTACTGTTAGCAGAGTTTTCCTACAACAACAACTATTAGTCAAGTATCAATATGGATTCATTTGAGACCTTATATGGGAGGCGAGGTCGTTCTCCGGTTAGTTGGATTGAGCTTGGGGAGGCTAGGTTGTTGGGCACCGATTTGGTCTGTGATGCTTTGGAGAAGGTGAAGTGGATCCGGGAGCGACTTCGTACAGCACACTCCAGGTAGAAGAGTTATGTCGACAAGAAGGCTCGTGATGTTGCATATATGGTGGGTAAGAAGGTTCTACTCAGAGTTTCGCCCATGAATGGTGTGATGAGGTTCGGGAAGAAGGGCAAGTTGAGCCCTAGGCATATTGGTTCATTTCAGGTGATCAACAGAGTGGGAGAGGTGGACTACAGACTTTCATTGCCACCTAGTCTATCGAGAGTTCACCCAGTGTTTCATGTTTCTATATGAAAGTTGCCATTGTAGATCAGCGGGTTGGAAAGTTGAGATCGAAGAATATAGCATCAGTGAAGGTTCATTGGAGAGGTCAGTCAGTCGAGGAGGCTACTTTAGAGACCGAGCAGGAGATGCGGAGCAGATATCCTCACCATTTTTAGACTCCCGGTATAATTCTAGACTCGTTTGAGGACGAAAGTTTGTTTAAAAAAGGGAGAATGTAACGACATTGCTGGTCCGTCTTGAGTATTTTATCTTGTTCCCCTATTTGATGTTTAACATATGTATAATTGTGATTATGAGAATTGTTGGGGTGATTTGTTTGGTTTCGGGCAAGTTTTGGAGTGAATGGGTACATTTAGTCCCAAGGTTGAATGCTTAAGTTAAAGCATTGACCAGAGTTTGACTTTTGTGTGAATGGCCCCGGAATGGTGTTGGTATGGTGATTTGAAACTAAGGCATATGTCCGGATTTGGAGGAGGTTCCTAGGTTGTTTTGGCTTGAATTGGCAAAAGTTGGAAAGTTGAAGGTTTGAAAAGTTAATAGGTTTGACCAAGGGTTGACTATGATGATATCGGGTTCGCATTGTGGTTCCGGGAGTTGGAATAGGTCTGTTGTGCCATTTGGGACTTACATGAAAAATTTGAGGTCATTCCGGGTTGTTTAGGCATGTTCGGCGTAAGTTTTGAATTTGGAAATTTAGAGTTCCTTAGGCTTGAATTGAGGTGCGATTCATGGTTTTGATGTTATTTTCTATCATTTGAGGTCTCGAGTAAGTCTGTGTTATATTTCATGATTGGTTGGGGTGATTGGACGGGGTCCCGGAGACATCGGGTGTGTTTTAGATGGGTTTCAGACTATTCCACTATGTTTTGGACTGCTAATTTCTGAGGTTGGAGTAGGCTGGGCAGTCGCCCTTCTATGCGTTCGCGGTGGGGGCTCTAAGTTCGCGAAGCAGCTGGGATCTTGAAGGAGTTAGCCTACACGTTCGCGAGGACCAGGCCGTGTTTGCTTAGGGTGTGATGTATTCTTCATCGTGTTCGCGATGGTGCAGAAGCAAACGTAAAGGCATTTTTCTGTGCGGGCGATTTTCGTTCTCTGCGATCGCGATGCATATGCCTGGGCAGATTATTTAAGTACTCTATTTTGTGAGTTTTGTCATTTTATCACATTTTGAGTTATAGAGCTCAGATTTGGGTGATTTTGGAGGGGATTTTCACGATTTGGATTGAAGAAAGTGTTTTCTATATGGATTCGTTTATTTTCATGATTCCAACCTTGAATTTAGCATTTAATTGGTGAATCTTAGTGGAAAAATTTGGATTTTAGTAAAAACTTGTTTAAAGTATAATTTGAAGATTTGAGGGTCGATTTGAAGTCGGATTTGGATGAAACACATATATTTGGACTCGAATTGGATTAGGTGTTCGAAATTTGTGAGTTTTGTCAGGTTCCGAAGTGCGGTCCCGGAGTTGGCTTTCTGGGTTGACTTTTTGGTTGTAATTAAAGAACGAAGTTTTATTATTTGGAATCGTTTCCTGCGGCTTTTACTAATGATATTAAGTTATTTTGACTAGATTCGTGTCGCCCGTAGGTTGATTCATGCGAGAAGGGCTTATTTGAAGATTGATTTGGCTTGCTTGAGGTAAGTATCTTACATAAACTTGGTAGAGGCACTAATTTCCTGAGTTATTTGTTATAGCTAGGTGTTATGGGTGGCGCACATGTGTGGGGTTGAGCCCATGTGCGTGCCCCGGGATATTGTTCATGCTCGGGGTAGTGCTTAGACTATGATATGCCTTGAATTGATTGCTAATCTTTATGCTGTGATGTTTCTTATATATTTACCCCTTTAGTAAGCTATTTGAACCATTTTTAAGGTCCCATAGAGGTTAATCTCCTGATTGAACATTATAACTGCTACTTTCGCGATGCAGTTGCCTGCTTTGAGTTATGATAGCATAGTTTGGATATGCATACACTTTAGCATGTTACTTATACCAGTCCAGGAGTATGAAATTTTATATTCATTGATCATGTACATGTATTTCTGTATATCTATTTTCTGTGTGATACGGATTGTATTGGTAGCATATGACAATGCCGGGCAGATTGTGATATTGAACATGTGATCACGTCGGGCAGATTGTAATATTGAGCCTGTGACCACGCCAGGTGGATTTTAATATTGATCCTGTGACCACGCCGAGCAGATTATAATTATTGGCACATGACTACGTCGTGCAACATGTGTATATGGAAGCATCCCTTAGGATCACCCTTTCATGGTCCTTTTTGATGGTGTATACGCAGTTGAGGAAAAGCTGATCAATGGTTTGGGTTCGGTTATTCAGATTCTGAGAAAAAGCTGGCTAGTGGTTGATTAGGTTATTGCATTTCATCTTAAGTTGCAATTTCCTTGGTTGTTTACCTAATTTGTTGCATATCTTCTTTGTACACTGGATTTTCAACTGAGTAGAGTATGTTAAGTTATTGTATATACCAATAAGTGATTTCTATGTGTGATTCATGACTAGATCATATTATTGTTCTGTATTTGTTGAAATTATGAACTATACAGGTGATTAGCGAGTATCATTTATAGTTCTTGCTTCTTTTACCTCGTTGAGGTTAGTTATGATACTTGCTGAGTACATGGGGTCAGTTGTACTCTTACTACATTCTGCATTTAATTATGCTGATCCATGTGTTGGACCGAGCCACTAGAAGCTGAGACTTGATGTTGAGTTACCTTGTAGACACGAGCTAGAGCTGCATCTTAAACGCAATCTTGGCATCTTTTTTGATTTTGTATTGTTGTCTTTCATTCAGAAAATATTTTATTTGGTATTTCAGACTTGTATTTCCGTTTTAGAGCTCATGAATATGTATTTACCAGTTCTAGGGGATATATTATGTATCGACGATGTTTTAATGTGAACTGGCCTTAGACTTGTACTACTTCTGTTATTTCAGTATTCATATTTCGCTTTTGTTATGTTTGGCTTGCCTAGCAAGTGAGTTAGGCGCT